CCATGTGTGGCCAACCCAATGCGCAGGCTGCTAGCACTTTGGCTGCTGGCAGCAATCTGTCGAACATCCTCACCATGAACAACACCGGGCCAATGCACATAACTCCCTCTGCCCCAGCTGGCTCCGTTGGTGGCACCCATGTTGATGAAGCTTCTAAGGGGAACAAGAAGGGGGAGAAGAAGGCGAAACAAGAAAGCGGAAAGGGGGAAGGTTTCCGGAAGAAGTTCCGTACCTGCATTATTTGAACCGTGTTTGCCCAAGCATTTGCCTAATTTGCATATTGATGCCACTGAGGCTGGAGAAGCCAACCGAACCGCTGGCTCTTGCAGCGTGGCACGTGCCACGCCTTTTGACGGCGCTGGGCGAAGCCAAGATTTTCCCAGTCAAGTTGGTCGAAATGCGGCATCAACAAGAACTTTGCCGCTAGTCTGCCCCCAAACGACGGACAAATCTCAAGCCCATATCTTGGGGTGCCCGTGGCTGAGTTCTTAGCTAGCTAAGGCAATACCATGACGGCTCACGCAGCTGAATTGGAAGCTTCGTATTTCCAGCTGCAAAAGATTTCCAAGGAGGATGGTTAGGGTCCCTTTGCCCCCACCCCCAGGCCCACTCCCATGACCCTGCGCTTCAGGACCCGGCCACGGTGGACGCGACGCGTGTCGATGCTGCCATTCGCCTTGCGGAGCAGAGGGTCGAAATGTACATGGAGGACAAACGCATTGCAGCCAATGTTTGCAAAACATCGAAAAAAGAAGAGAAGAAGGAATAGAACAACATGGCTTGGAAGGCCTGTGATTTGCTTCATCTTCAGTGCATATACAGCTTGAAAACCACCATTTGCTGGGCCCTGTTACTGGCCTGGACAGGTGGAAGTACAAAATCGATGTGATGAGTGGCTTCTATTTTGCTGGGTCTAAACTCTGCAGCCGTGGGGAGATGTCATGTTCCAGAAAGGGTATCCCTGTGATAGCCCAACCTTTACTCTGCATAGATACGCATGCACGCAGTTTCTTTTTCCGAGGCTGTTGCGTTTAGAATTGGGCATGCGCCTGTGTAAGGCTTCCCCAAATACATAAACCGTGTGCTCGAGAGCATCCTTCCTAAAATTGTCTTTTGCGGAAGCTTTACTGCGCAAAGTGCAGCCTCTGCGGGGTGGCAAGCTGCACGCTAGACTAACTTGCCTCAAAATGGGCGTGATCCTATGGCATCTTGCGAGCGAGAAGAGTTGCAAAACTGCAGGGAGCTGCAGCGTCTGGGTGCAGCGGAATCCACCCACCCCTGCCCAGAGCCAGGTCCCAAACGAAAGGCCGCCATATTTCCTTGCTCAGCGGATCAACCCCCATTATAGTAAATTATCATCTTGCGGTTGCAATATGGCCATTGCCGGACATTTACTTTTTTCAGGCACCTCAGTTGGCAGTTTGGCTCAGCCATGGGCTTTGAGATGTGTGGCTGAAATGGTTTATCTTTCCATATGGGGCTTCAACAAATACGAGAATCGTGCAGGGCACCCCCAAACACTACGAATGAAAACGCATTCTGTGAACTAGGGGTTGAGAATAATCCCAAATGTGCCTCCCTGTTGCAAACTGTCAGTGTCACCCTTTGATGGACAGTTTGGGTTTCTTTGGTGTAGCCCCCCTTTGTGAGTTGGCTCCCTATTTCTTCGACAAGGTTTGCATGGCTGCATAGGCTTCCATTTTTGGGGTATTTCCTTTTGGGACCCACCTAAAGTGACAAGAACAGCCTCGTTGTTGTTTGGGAAGCATGGCATGGCCAGCAACTGCCTCATGGTGACCAGGCTCTGGCTAAACTATGAGAACCATCAAGCGCCCTTATTGGGGAACCGCTTGAAAATCACAACCTGCAAAATCGATGCCCCTACAGCCTTTCCATTCGCATCAACTTTGGTAGGTGATGGTGATTCCCTCAACCTGGGGTTGTCCAACAATGTTGTAACATATACATTTTTCACAAAAAGGGATCAGCTTGTTTGGGGGGTATGTGGGCATAAACCGCAACTGAATAGAATTTCCGCGCTCCTCCCCTGGAAGGCACCGTGTCGGGTGGGCCTGGTCCTTCTCGTGGGCCAGCCGAGCAGCAGCCGCCATGCAAGCGACCTCGGGTGGCGCAAGTGCCAACAGAGGAGCCATAATAAAGCAGTTTAATTCAAAAACAAGATTACCTGCCCTGAAGGACACCATGTTAGGGCAACGCCTGATGGAGGACTTCGTCACTGGCAAATGCACTGCTGCAAGGGCCGTTTGGTGATCATATGTTTGTTTTTTTGAGCACCCTTTGGAAACACATGTACATTTAACTTTTCCCGGTGGCCAGCTGTACCTCCGGAGGTTGGACACTTCTGGACTTGAGATGCGAAGCCTCCTTTTTGTGGTCATGTCCCCCTAAAATTCAAAAGTGTCCAGCCCCCAGAGGTACAGCTGCGTTTGGGGTTGCGGTGCCAATTCAGGGTGTCCAAGGCCCAACAACTTGCGGCAAGTGCCTTGCGCTGGGCTGCTTCCTATGGAATACCCATTCTAGAGGATGACATTGTGGCCCGTGTGGCGGCTCTGGGGGGCCACGGTGCAAGCGCACAGAACTGCGAACGCGATACGCATGTGCTCTTGCGTGCGGCAGGGATAACTCTAGACGCGCCTATTTCAAAAATCAAAGTGCGGATGTACAATCACAAGAAGGGCCGAGAGCTGCCTGAGGACATGTTTGTCATTTGGCCTGACGACCTTGCTGCCTGCATTTGGCGCAGGGGTGAGGATGTATTCCGGGAGTTTTTTTGCGGAACAGAAGACATATCGGCATATTGGGATCACCATGCGAGATTTTGTGACTGGTTCAAAAAGCACCCCATGGCCAATCATCAGCCGCGTTCACACCTTTTACCGTTTTCCTTATACGGAGATGGTATCAACGTATTCAAGCAGACCCAAAGTGGGACGGTAGAGGTTTTGGGGTGGACCAGCGATTTTGTCCCGACCAACCACCCAATGAAGAGATACCTTCTTATCAACGTTTATTCGGAACACCATGCGACAGAATCAACGTTTGAAGACCTCATGCAAGCGCTTGTCCCAAGATTATGTCGAATGGTCGACCCCAATGCCGTTTTTCCATGGACAGCCTCAGGGTATCAGTGGATGTTCTCCAGTGTGCAGGGCGACCTCGCGTGGATTTGCAGCAAGTTTCAGCTGTTTCAATATCGCAGCAACGGGTTTTGCTCTTTGTGCCCATGCGTAAAGAACCACCCGGACGTGTCAATGACGCTCGCTGACTTCCGGGAATCAGCTGCACACCGGCAAACTCGCGCACGAAGATTTCATTAGCATGACTGAGGAAGAGAGCCGAAACTTGTCTACCCAATCTGGCCAAAGCTGTGTTTTGTTTGGGGGGGACCCTGCTTTATTGGCCCCAAAGGTGTTTTTTGCCCTTAAACCAAGAGTTTGCAAGGGGGTCAGAAAAACAGGTTGGGGGTTGGACAAACAGGGTCCCCTTTGTTTGGTGCCCTTAGCAGCTACGTGACTCTAGCCTCAGCCAAGGATCCGCTCTGTTCAAAGTCCCTGGGCTGAGGTCAGAGCGATTCCTTCATGACATTTGTCATGGACAGTATTTGGGTACAGGAATGAATGTCAACGGATCATGCCTCGTATATTTGGCTGAAAATGGTTTTTTTGGGAGCTGGGTTAGGCATGGAATTTACCGAGACATCCTGAATGCCAGGCTTCGGCGAGCACATGTGATGTTTTTGAAGTGGGCCTCGAGCAACCGCCTTGCCACATCCCAGCCTCGCTTCACAGCATCACGTCTCAGCCGAAAAACACGAACCAGTTTTCCAGTTCTTTCAAGCAAAGCTGCAAACAGCAAGACAATCAGCTTTTGGTTGGCTCAGCTGGCAGAGGAATTTGCGAATCGCCCTTCTGCCAGAGCGCTTGACAAAGATGTGTGCACGACAATCTGGTCCTACACCTATTGTCTCAAGCTGATGGACCAGAACGGGTCCTTGATGAGCGAACAGGCATCCAACGACTTTTACAAGTACGCCATGATTCACTTGACCTCCTATGCCTCACTTCATGCGAAAAGTCGGGCAACACGAGGCGCAAGTGCAACGAACCGCACTTCTTGGCTTTTGTCCCCAAAGCTGCACTATTTCATGCATTGTGCAGAAACAGTCAGGTTGACTAGGGTCAACCCTAGGAACTTCATGTTGATGAGTGGCGAGTCATGGATCGGCATGGTTGGCCGCATGACAAAGACCGCTCACCGTAGGACCCTTTCCTTTCGAGTTGCCCAACGGTATTTGAGTGTGATGGGGCTTAAGCTCCGCGCCAAAGGTGCGGTGAGCGCAGGCAAGCCCAGGCATCGAGCCGAAAAGGCCCCGCGATGAACTGGACCAAAGGCCACAGGCGGTGGCCATGTTTTCAGCTGAACTTTGGGAAGCCAAAATGGGCGGCTCGTCTGTTTTCAAGGGTACCCTTTTTGGGTTAAGGACAACTGAACGGAAACCACCATTTTTGAAGGCTTCCCTATTTGACCGCCACTTTCTGCAGCCTGCACGATGTGGGCCTTTGGGTCCTCAATTTGAGGGGTCGAACTATGTGGGGCCCTCAATTTGAGGGGTCGAACCATGTGGGCCCTCGAGTCTGCCAAGTTGACGCCCCATTGGCCAGCGACGCCCCATGGGGCATTTGGAGCCTTAGGGTAATCCCTAAAAACATCTTAAGCTCCAAGTTCTGATCCTTGAATCATGCTAAACAAGCATCCTGACCTCTTAAACCAAATTAATCCCTAAACTCCAATCCCCAAGGCATCCGACATCTTCACAAGCCACACTCAATGAGTCCAGGCCAACCAGGCCAAATCGATCTGCTGCCTCCTTCCGGAAATTTCAAGAGAGCCGCATCTGGGTATGCGGCAGACTCAGGGATCCCCCAAAATTGATAGCTCTCCTTTGAGTCTCCCTTCCTATCAACCTGAAAAGGTTGCCATCAAAACCACCAACTCGCATCAACTGAGCCCCCGGGCGGGCCCCGGGGCGCCGCGTCGCGGCGCCGCGCCGTGCACCGCACGGCCCTTCCGCGGCTCCGCGGAATGGCGCCGCGCGAGGCGCAGAAGGCGCCCGTGGCATCGATGGCGTTCTGCAAAACGCAGGCGCCGGGCCTGACGTGCGTCGTGTTTGAGGCTCAGTGTTTTTTTTCCTTTTTTTTTCTTTTTCGGGGGTTGGATTGAAGGGAAACCAACAGGATTTTGAGGAATCCCCTTTTTAGAGACAAACCCACGTCTGGCGATCCATTCACCTGCCACCCAGCGAACCACCCTGGAACAACGAGAAGGAAAATATACAAGGATTGCCTACCATCGGGGAAACTGGGGATTTTGCCCATAAAATTTTGGGCCCGGCGCCGACATGTATATCCGCTTTTATTGAGGTATGAACCGCAAGCTTCTGGAACTGGCCAACTTGCATAGCCGTTTGATGTGGGCTAAAAGTGGACGGCCGCCTTTTTGTCCAAGGAGAAACCAAGGAAAACCGTTCACCCGAAAAGGGTCTCCAAGTTTCAAGAGTTTCAAACACACGCGCTGCCTCAATGGACGCAAGCTGGTTGTCTTGCTTCTCCAAGCAAGGATCATGGGACAAATTTCCCCCATATCCCGCCCAAATGAACCGTAGACAAATCAAATGTTTTTGACCAAGCCTCCAATGAGTCCTGTGGAAAGGCAAAAGGACTGGCAGCAGAGTGGCAAGCCCCAGCAACACATCTCTGAAATCGGCAGTTCCTGCCAAACTGTGGATTGACAAAATCTGCTTCACACCAGTTGGGACGCGTGAAACCCTCTGAATGCTTGTTGATAAACCACCTACCAACCGGTGAAGGATGCTGCCCATCCACAGTATGATTCCCTTCAAACGTCACCAGCCAGAGGAAACTCCGCTGCCGGCCTCAGTGAATTCTCCAGGATGCGCAGGAACTCCACCGACCTGCGAAAGGGGAACGTGGATGGGAGTCCGGGAAGTCTTTAGTCGTCGTGGGCGAACTATCCGCATGAGGACCTGCAACCAACACTTTGAGTTTTAAAAAATGGCTAGTTACTAGTCGCCTCACGTACCTCGCCAAATGCCACTCAAAATTGGCTCCAGCCATGGCGTCTCTTCGTCAAACCGCACCTTGTCATTTCACGGGAAAAAAAAAAACCTGTCAGTGCTGAAATTAGTTGAACTTACATACCTCCCTGCAGATTGCGAGCTAAGCCAAAACATCATCTATGGAGGGGCAGCCCTTGCTTGGGGACATCTTTTGGTTCCTTATGTGGTAGTTTGTCGAATAATATGGTTGGATCTTGAATCTGGTTTGCGTTGTTGTCCTGTATGCATGGTGCTGGTTTTCGGATGCACCTTGTGAAGGCAGGCGTTGAGGAGCTGTGCCCCTGGAAGATGTCAATGGCGCAGGCATCGAAGTCGAGCCTCGCGGACTTGACAAAGCGGGGCGCGCAAATGGATCAAACGCGCAAGATGACAACTTGGTCGTGGTATCCTCCCGTACGATTCTTATCTGAGTTCCCAGTAAACCGTCAATGGCCATCCTTATCACTGACGGGTCGGGTGACCTGCGCGATTTGAAGCTTGCGGGTTTCCCATGCAAGAAAAGTAAGAAGCGTGCCGTGTGTGAGTAGTGCTCGCCTGCGTGCGTGCGTGCGCGGGTGTGAGGGTGAAGTGGAACTTCTGTGGAGCTTCACGCAGCCAATGAACGATCAGATCGATCTTGTTGATGCAACGCAGCCACAGAAACGCGCACACAAACCCATGCTCACCCACATGCTCACCCACAGACACACACACACACACACCCACACAACCACCAGGCAACAGCATGCGCTCAGTGCAATGTGGCATGCGGGCGCAGCTCGCTGCAGTGCATGGATTTGCACAGTGAACACACAGTGCACGCCACCCTACAGTGCACGCTACAGTGCCGGGGTCCAAAGGCTGCAAATGCAACGTGTGTTGCCAAGCTGGCGCAAAAGCCAAAACATGTGTCTTTGAAAAGGAAACCAAAGCACGACCACGCGAGTTCTTGGCCAACTCTGTAACCCCCTGTTTCCCTCTTGTTTTGCACGGGCCCAACACGCCCAGGAGTCCCAAAACATGAGAGACGCGTTTTGAGTCGCGCCTGCCCGTGGATCGCACAAATTCTTCGGCATCGGCGTGGACTAGCTCCACTCCGCGGTCCTATGGCAAGGTCCGCTTAGCTGAGGCTCGAAGAGCAGTGGTTCAATAGCAATACAAATTCAGGTATAGCCCTTGATTGATGGTTTGGATTGGTGGGGATTCGAAATGCTGGTTACTGTAGAGGGTAAATGGGAAACATTGGGAAACTACCGCTGACCAGCAAGCCACCAATCCAAACCACCAATTTAAGGGAAGCTGACGAAGGTTGAAACAGGCATGGTTCAAAAATAGCAAGTGACAAACAAGTAGCGTGGCAAACCAATAGTGGCTTGATACATGATGGCGTGGGGACTGTTAAGTTGAAAAAATGGTTCTGGCTCTGCGTGGCTGGACATATTGCAAGGGGGCCTGTTTCTTTTATCCCATTAACCGGGTTTGCCCGGAAAATCATATTTGTGACGCCTTTGGATAGCCAAGGGACACCAGCAGTAAACGGTTTCCCAATTTGCACTGAGATTTGCGTCAGATATCATGGGGGGCTAAGGCAGGGAGGTCATCCTTAGCCCCGGACAAGGCCTTGAGAGTTCACTAGGTGATACTCCAAGGACGCGCTCCGGGCCATCGTTTCATGAGCAAAACCTGCAAGGTGTTGCCAGTTGACCTTTTTTGGACCATTGGGAGACAAGATCACCGGTGCGAATGGACGACCATGGAAAAAAGAAGAAGCGCCGCCACCGAACCAAAAGGGAAAAGAACCCACCTCCCCCGGTCTCTCCCTCTTCGCCCAGCCAAAAGGAATGGTTCCCCTCATCCATCCATTTCCAGCCCGCCTCAAGGCCAAAGAAGCGCTGTGAAAGGTCCAGCACCACAGAGGAACTCTCCACCGCGACCACCTGGTGGGTTGGTGGGCCCACAGAACAGGGTGGGAAGCCGCTTTGGCTTTCTTGAGAAGGTGGCAATCGCCATTTGCCGCGATTGGGGATGAAATCGCTGGAACTCTGCTACCTGAAATTGAAAACGGCCCCCCGGAACAGGCAACAGCCAGCAGGCTAGAAGAAATGAGGACTCCCAAAATGGAACTTACCCCCTGCCCAAGACAGAATCGAAACACACCGAAAGAAGAGTCCCCCCGAAAGCAAACCCCCTCCCAACAAGGAATAAGGACACCACCGCCCCCCAACGTCCAAGGCTATGATTTTATATGTCTCCGTTTCTGTTTGTTTAAATGTTTTTCTTGAACAAGACGTCTCAATTCTCAAAACATATCGTTGCGCCCAAGCATGCTCAAACAAAAAAACAAAAACGACCATACCAAAGTCATCCCAAGTCATCCCAAGTCATCCACAGCCAGCCGTCCCCTTCGCTTCGAGCATATGGCGCCTCCATGCCAAAGGAGCTGAGGGCCTGGGGAAGCAGCCCACCGCCCAGGCCCAGGACCTCGCTCGCTCCGGACAACCACGTGGCAAGGGACCACACCTGCCCCCGTACTGGTGGCGAAATCCGTTTCGCACCACCGTTCAGAAACCCTGGAATGATGTGTGTGTGTGTGTGTGTGTGTGTGTGTGTGTGTGTGTGTGTGTGTGTGTGTGTGTGTGTGTGTGTGTGTGTGTGTGTGTGTGTGTGTGTGTGTGTGTGTGTGTGTGTGTGGGTGTGTGTGTGTGTGTGTGTGTGTGTGTGTGTGTGTGTGTGTGTGTGTTTTCTCCTGGAAATAGCAACGAACAATGGTTTCAACCATAATTTCAAAGTGGTGCGAAGTGGATTTCGTCCATCCACAGTATGAATACTGGAGAACATCGCAAAGGCACCAGTCAACGATTTCACCTGGGGAAATCAAACACACAGGTAAAGCGGAAAAAGTTGTGAGTTTGTGTGAAAGTGCAATTGAAGGGTGGTATATGTTGGTTAAGATCATTTATATATGGTTGGATATGTCCTTGTTTCAGGGGTTTCAACCATTAAACATCGCCAAGTGGCCGTATTTCTCAGCTTCTTGCTACCCTCTTGCCATGTAGAAAAGTTGGCTTTGCGCGGAATCCTTTCTGGGATTCACCGGATTTTTTTGTGGGAACCGAGAAAAAGGTCCACTGAACTGAGACTATGGTTTCATGATGCTTCCTCCGTCCATGAGCTTGCCATGTTGAGACCCAGCCATATGCGCGTGTATTTTTCGGATATCATAGGGTTGGTTTTAAAAAAACAAAAAACAAAAACGACACAAAGAGAAAGCACCGTTGTTGGGGTCTCCTACTTTGACACATACCCATGTCTCAAAGGATCCACTCCCAATGACTACCAAACAGAACCCAAGACTGGCAAGGGGCGATATCCCGGGCTCAACATGAGCAAGTTGAGGATGTTCAGGAGTCATTTCAGGGACAGTCATGGCAAATTCACCTGTTTGAAAGCCCTGCAGGAAAATCTGAAGGATGCGAAACGGGTGGTTGGGACCCAACACAAACAATTGGTTGGTTGTTTCACGCCTTGGGCACACATAAGCCCACCAAGGCACAGGCCTACAGGCGATCTTTTCTGTCATTGAAATGATGCCGAACAGCCAGCGTTTGCGGCTTCTCACGTGAAACATCTTTGAAATTTAACAATTCACACAACGATCACCCACAAGTCCAGGGTTTCTGAAAATACACAATCGGACACCGGGCTTGCCGAGGGTATCGAAAAGCCGCTGGCCACTTTCACTTTGATGCTCTTGGTGCCAATGGAGCTGTAGATGGGTGTTTCCTGGGCATAGATCCCTCAAAAGCGACCTTTGTTTTTGCTTGCCTGCCAACGAGATGAAGTCTGGCAAAGTTTTGCTCGTGCAAAGATGACAGGGACAATAAAGCAGAATCAAGAAGATGGCAAAAAGGCTAAAAACCTGGCTTAGCAAAGTCTGGCAAAGCTTCAGAAATGACAGTGACAGCCTTGTACCCCAGCTTCTGCACTGCCTCTGCAACCTGATCTGCCGTCCACCCGGAATGGTGTGCGCTCCGCCGGGTCGACAGTACATCCAAAACCGCCTGCGATTCTTCTTTGCTCATGGTACCTGGATCATCCAATAGCTCTGCAATGCCTAGAGACATTGCGCGAAGCAGCTCAAACACCGAAGACCATGTCTGCGCAATGCTGGAGCTGCTTGAGCCGCATAAGGTGTTCACAAGTGTTTATGTTTGCTTGCAAGCAACGGTGTTCAGAAACTCGGGCAAGTTCAGTCTATCCCAGTTTTGGACATTCGTTTGCCACTTGAGGTCAAATAAAACACAGCGAGACATGCGAGACACACAAACAAAAGGGGCAACAGCTGCCATCCCTCGCCTCTTGTGGACCGGGGGTGGGGGTTGTAGACCTGGAAGATGGCACTAGGTCAGCGGCCAGTACCCGCTTTGCCTGCGCCTTCAACCTGAACCAAAGCGGTTGAAACTGGCCCAGGCCGTAATCTCGACTCTTCAAATTGAGGGGGTTGAGACCCGGGTTGGATAATTCAGCCGAGTGGTGAAGCATGCGAAAACTCTTGTTTTACCAATCTCCTGTTTGTATCCCTCTTAAGATGGCCACGGCCTCCTGAAGCAAACTTTTGCCAGTTCTGTTGGCCAATCCTATTAGTCTTAACTAGGCAACCATGAAGGGGGGGGGGGGCCAAATCCTTTTCTGACCAAAGGAGCGAGGAGTTCATGTGAACAGCCCACTTGAACTTGAACATGGAATACAGTTCATTTGCGACTACCAAGGAGTCTTTTGTGATCTTGCATTTGACACAAACTTTGGGAGAGTTGTTTCCAATGTCCTCCCACGCAGGATCACGTGCGGGGGATTCCAAGGGATGGATCGCTTGATATGGCTACGCATCTGGAACTCTCGGCAAATACGTTGGTGAAATTTGGTACAGTAGGTGGTCCATGCTTTGACTATTTCTAGGGGTTTGTAGAAGCCTACCACTTGGCTGACTTTCAATGTGCCAAGCGTGACTCATTGATCCTTTGTGCTTGCCAAAGAAACTTGGGCCCCTTTTTGGCGGGACCTGTCCTGCCCACGAGGCAGAATCAGTATCACATCACACACTTCATACCCCACACTCACACCGACGCACCGCTTTCATGCGGCACATGGGGCCCTTCTTCTAGTTTCGCGGGTTCATGGGATTCGTGGGTAATCGGCGTTTGGTGGTCTCCTATTGCTTAGTTGGTAACATTGTCCGCTGCTCACAAGCTTGTTGTTGAATCGATGATAGCCATGGGAACGAGGTTGCCAACCATGGCTGCCATGGCCGCGCAGGGATTGCTGTTTTAGGTTAAGGCAACGCAGGCTTGCTGACATTTTAGAGGTTGATTTCCAGTCATTGACATTGGCAGGTTGTCAACAAACCAAAGAAAGACGTCACCATTTCATGGTTGCTCTTTCGCTCAAGTTTCTACTTTGGACAATGATAGCAGTTCCCAACTAAGCAGTTCTACACCAGGTGACCTTGAGACCAAACCAGCATTCATGGGTTTTGGGAAGCTACTCTCCCTTCTGGCACTCATTGGGGCCCCACGGCAAGCGTCGGAACTTGAGTAAGGCGCCGGCAACTGCGATGCCATGCAATGGAGGTACGGAGTGCGCCTGCAGCTTCGATGTGCGGGCACCCGACGGGCAAATGAAAAATGGCTCTGGGTGCAATCACGGCTGAGTTCTTGCCCAAGCGCGCACCCGCTGCAAACAGAGAACATGTTGGTGGCTAAAAGGGACAATGAAGGCAACCCAAAGGGCAAAAGAACACAATCCGGCAATGAACTGAGCAAGCTGTCGAACACGGCTGCAGTTCTCAGTTGATTCTAACCAAACAATTCACAATCGAGCACGAACCGTTGCCAAACGTTGGACCTTCAAAAGGAATCTCTTTTTGTTGCAGAGAAGGCAGCCCGAGAAGAATCACCCTGCGCAGCTATGGTAGAACAACAACTTGTGGACGTCATGAAGGTACAGTCAGAATCCTATGAACATTGTACAGCAAATACGTCAGGATGGCCATCCGGGTCTTTTAACTTATTATTGGTATGGCACATGGGTGTCCCTTGGTTGGTTTCCTTTTGCCTTTTTTCTTCTTGGTGCTGATGGAATGAGGGACTAAAGGAAACCACTGGTTGGACGGTTCAAATCGGGGTCATTCCAATTCATTCCCTGCCTATCGCACCGATCGCAAGCCTTTTCCTCGACGTTCCCGGTCTGGGTCTGCCCATCCCATTGCTGGCCCACACTCTGCGCATTTCTTGATAGCGGCGCGTCCATGGTCAACCTCAGTTGGCTTCCCTGCATAAACAATCCATTTTCGGGGTTGTTGAGACCTGTGCAGATGCAACAGACGGCGTGTTGGACATAAGAAATGCTCCTTACCTCTTTACCTGTTACCCCTCCCAGACTGTTGCGGGGGGGGGGGGTCCACGTACCACGCGGTGATTCGAAGACGCTTCACTAAATCTGTTCATTGTGCGGGCTTGCGCAACCCAGTTTGTCAAAAACATTGGGGTGTTCGATTCCCCCCGGGTGCGCCTTCGCATCCTTAGCAGCTCCAGCGGCACATCGCCAGCATCACCTGCATCATCCGCATCAGCGCCTGCCAAGGATGCAGATGATGCAAGTGATGCTGGGGATGTTGCCCATGCTGGTGAAGGAAATGAAGGGGGGAAAGGGGGAAAGGATCTCAACAGCGAAAGGGGGGGAAAGATCTCAGGGAGGACAGGGAGAAGATCTGGGGACAAAATGCCTTAAGGGGGAAAGGGGGGAAAAGATCTTTGGGAGGAAAAGGGAAATCTTTCTCGGGGGGAACAGGCCCTAAGGGGCAATGGGGGGACAGGATCTCAAACGGGAAAGGGGGGAAAAGACTTTGGGAAAAGAAGGGTGGAGATCTTGGCAGAAAAAAGGCCTTAGGGGGGAAACGAGGGAAAGGATCTTAAGCGGGAAAGGGGGGAAAAGATCTTAGGGAGGCAAAGGGAGACGAACTCAGGGAAAAGGACTTAGGGAGGAAAGGGGGGGAAAGATCTTTGGGAGGAAAAGGGAGAAGAACTGAGGGTGGGAAAAGGCCTTAGAAGGAAAAGGGGGGAAATAAATGATCTCAACAGGGAACTGGGGGGGGGGGGAAAGATCTTAGGGAGGAAAGGCAGAAGATCTGGGGCAAAAAGGCCTTAGGGGGGAAAGGGGAGAAATGATCTCAACAGGGAAAGGGGTGGAAAAGATCTTAGGGAGGAAAGGGAGAAGATCTGGGGAAAAAAGGCCAACAGGGAAAGGGGGGAAAAGATCTTAGGAAGGAAAAGGGAGAAGCTCTCAGGGGGGGAAAGGCCTTGGGAGGGAAAGGGGGGAAAGGATCTCAACAGGGAAAGGGTGGGAAAGATCTTAGGGAGGAAAGGGGGGGGAAGATCTTAGGGAGGAAAGGGAGAAGATCTGGGAGAAAAGGACTTAGGGGGGAAAGCCCAACAGGGAAAGGGGGGAAAAGATTTAGGAAGGAAAAGGGAGAAGCTCTCAGGGGGAAAAGGGAGAAAGGGGGAAAAGGATCTCAGCAGGGAAAGGGGGGGGGGGGAAAGATCTTAGGGAGGAAAGGGAGAAGATCTGGGGACAAAGGCCTTAGGGGGGAAAGGGGAGAAATGATCTCAACAGGGAAAGGGGTGGAAAAGATCTTAGGGAGGAAAGGGAGAAGATCTGGGGGAAAAAAGGCCAACAGGGAAAGGGGGGAAAGATCTAAGGAAGGAAAAGGGAGAAGCTCTCAGGGGGGGGAAAGGCCTGAGGGGGGAAAGGGTGGGAAGGATCTCAACAGGGAAAGGGGGGAAACAATCTTAGGAAGGAAAAGGGGGAAGACCTGGAAAGGCCGTAAAGGGAAGGGGGGAAAGGATCTCAACAGGGAAAGGGGGCAAAGGATCTTACGGAGGAATAGGAAGAAGATCTCAGCGGGGGGAAAGGCCGTAGGGGGGAAAGAGGGGAACGGATCTCAACAGGGAAAGGGGGGGAAAGATCTCAGTGAGGAAAGGGAGAAGGTCCCAGGCAGGGAAAAGGCCTTAGGGGGGAAAGGGGGAAAGGATCTCAACAGGGAAAGGGAGAAGATCCTAGGGAGGAAAAGGGAGAAGATCTCGGGGGGAAAGGGGGAAAGGATCTCAACCAAGGGAAAAGATCTTGGGGAGGACAAGGGAGAAGATCTCAGGGGGGGAAAGGCCTTAGGGGGGAAAGGGGGGAAAGGATCTCAACAGGGAAAGGGGGCAAAGGATCTTAGGGAGGAAAAGGGAGAAGATCTTGGGGGGGAAAACGCCTTAGGGGGGAAAGGGCGGGAAAGGATCTCAACAAGGAAAGGGGGGAAAAGATCTTAGGAAGGAAAAGGGGGAAGATCGCGGGGGGAAAAAAGGCCTTAGGGGGGAAAGGAGGGAAAGGATCTCAACAGGGAGAGGGGGGAAAACATCGTAGGGAGGAAAAGGGAAAAACTCAGAGGGAGAAAGGGCCTTAGGGGGGAAAGGGGGAATGGATCTCAACAGGGAAAATGGCAAAAGATCTTAGGGAGGAAAAGGGAGAAGATCTCAGGGGGGGAAAGGCCTTAGGGGGGAAAGGGGGGAAAGGATCTGAGCAGGGAAAGGGGGGGAAAGATCTTAGGGAGGAAAGGGAGAAGATCTGGGGGCAAAGGCCTTAGGGGGGAAAGGGGAGAAATGATCTCAACAGGGAAAGGGGTGGAAAAGATCTTAGGGAGGAAAGGGAGAAGATCTGGGGGAAAAAAGGCCAACAGGGACAGGGGGGAAGCTCTCAAGGGGGGGAAAGGCCTCAGGGGGAAAGGGTGGGAAGGATCTCAACAGGGAAAGGGGGGAAACAATCTTAGGAAGGAAAGGGGGGGGGGGGGGGAAGATCTTAGGGAGGAAAGGGAGAAGATCTGGGAGAAAAGGACTTAGGGGGGAAAGCCCAACAGGGAAAGGGGGGAAAAGATCTTAGGAAGGAAAAGGGAGAAGCTCTCAGGGGGGGGGGAAAGGCCTTGGGAGGGAAAGGGGGGAAAGGATCTCAACAGGGAAAGGGGGCAAAGGATCTTAAGGAGGAATAGGGAGAAGATCTCAGCGGGGGGAAAGGCCGTAGGGGGGAAAGAGGGGAACGGATCTCAACAGGGAAAGGGGGGGAAAGATCTCAGTGAGGAAAGGGAGAAGATCCCAGGCAGGGAAAAGGCCTTAGGGGGGAAAGGGGGCAAGGATCTCAACAGGGAAAGGGGGCAAAGGATCTTCGGGAGGAAAAGGGAGAAGATCTGAAAAGGCCTTAGGGGGAAAAGGGGGAAAGGAGCTCAACAGGGAAGGTGGGAGAGGATCCTAGGGAGGAAAAGGGAGAAGATCTTGGGGGGAAAGGGGGAAAGGATCTCAACCAAGGGAAAAGATCTTGGTGAGGACAAGGGAGAAGATCTCAGCGGGGGAAAGGCCTTAGGGGGGAAAGAGGGGAAAGGACCTCAACAGGGAGAGGGGGGAAAACATCGTAGGGAGGAAAAGGGAAAAACTCAGAGGGAGAAAGGGCCTTAGGGGGGAAAGGGGGAATGGATCTCAACAGGGAAAAATTGCAAAAGATCTTAGGGAGGAAAAGGGAGAAGATCTCAGGGGGGGAAAGGCCTTAGGGCGGAAAGGGGGGAAAGGATCTGAGCAGGGAAAGGGGGGGAAAGATCTTAGGGAGGAAAGGGAGAAGATCTGGGGGAAAAAAGGCCAACAGGGAAAGGGGGGAAAGATCTAAGGAAGGAAAAGGGAGAAGCTCTCAGGGGGGGGAAAGGCCTGAGGGGGGAAAGGGTGGGAAGGATCTCAACAGGGAAAGGGGGGAAACAATCTTAGGAAGGAAAAGGGAGAAGATCTGGAAAGGCCTTAAAGGGAAGGGGGGAAAGGATCTCAACAGGGAAAGGGGGCAAAGGATCTTAAGGAGGAATAGGGAGAAGATCTCAGCGGGGGGAAAGGCCGTAGGGGGGAAAGGGGGGAAAGGATCTCAACAGGGAAAGGGGGGGAAAGATCTCAGGGAGGAAAGGAAAAAGATCCCAGGGAGGAAAAGGCCGTAGGGGGGAAAGTGGGGGAAAGGGAGGAAAAGGGAGAAGATCTCAGGGGGGAAAAGGCCTTAGGGGGGAAAGGGGGGAAAGGATCTCAACAGGGAGAGGGGGGAAAACATCTTAGGGAGGAAAAGGGAAAAAATCAGAGGGAGAAAAGGCCTTAGGGCGGAAAGGGGGAATGGATCTCAACAAAGAAAGGGGGGCAAAAATCTCAGAGGGGAAGGGGGCAAGGGGACAATTCCAAAGGGACGCAAATAAGAAAGCAGGCCTGTAATGTCGGCGGCCTGAGCCGGAGGCACTAAAATTCGACCCTTTCTGCCTCAAGGATCGCTGGAGCTCCACGGCATCCCCAGAGAAGATCACCTGGCGTGCCCAATAGCCACCAAGACATCCGGTGATGGGGGAAAAATACTCCAGTATATATTAATATATACATATATTTTTTTTAACCAAAAATATGATTGAAAGAGAAAGCTTCAAAAACCAAGAGAAACAACGTTTTCGGCGGGTCTCTGGCCATGGTCAATATGGATCGCGTCGGCTGGCACTGGATTCTGGCAGCTGGCAAGTGCGCATGTAGCGAATCGGAGATCCCAAAACAGGCGGGCTTACTCATTTTCAGATAGCAAACATGGGCGTACCCTGACGAAAAGACACACCCATGCCTCAGAAACGCAGTCGCCTGGCCCTCCCTCCGGCTTGAAGATTCGGGTTTCCCTCTGCCTCTGTTTGCAGCAAGGGCTCTCTGCCAATGAACCAAAGTTGGCCTCAGCCCCCAACATCGAAGACGCCACGTTCTTAATAGGATTTTTATTGGAGCCGAATAAGACTCTCTTTTTTGGAGAACTCCAGGGGATGGGTGTTAGAGGTGGAGAGGTTGGATCCTTAAACAAAAAATGGAAATCAACGCCGCACTCAAAAAGTTCGGCAGGAACCTTCTGATCGCGGATTGACCCTTTTTGGGAGGCCCTTACGGATGCGGGCCGATTTAGTCTCTCCTTCCTGATCCGGGTTGGAGCTATGCCATCCCGTGACAAGAAAGTCGGGTTCTCAAAACCCTTCCTCCTGAAAAGGTCCCCTTTAAACCCTGCCGGTGTTGGGATTTGTGGATTTGTTGCCTTTGGTTCTTACTGAGACAATGTCTGTCGGCTGCCAGAAATCAGAACCCTTTGGTCACAGACAGCAAACACACCTGGGCCACTCCCCCGCAAAAAAGTGAACCCCGCGCAGCTTAACCCAAGGCCCGCAAAAGCAAACAAGGGCCCCTCGTGGGGGGGGGTTGAATCGGGATTCGTCGGTTTTCTCAGGATTTTAGAACTTCTCACAAACTCAAAGAACCTCGAGTTTTCCAAAAATCAGCCCCTAACTCAGCCATCATGGATACATAGGCTCTGTTTGTTGTTTGTCGCGAGGTATTTTATACGTTTAAAAAACACAATGCACAACTTCGAGTTTGCAAAAAAACAAAACACACACATAGACCCTAACTCAGCCAACATGAATGCATAGGGTCTGACATGTTGTGTTTTGTGTTTTGTAGTGTAGTGTTCAAGGCGTTTTACACTTTTCTTAAAAGACAAACTCGAGCTTTCCAAACCAATCAGACCCAACTCAAACAATATGGGTCCATTGGGTCTGTTTGTGGTTTTCTCGAGTTGTTCTTGCATTTTTCACAAAACACACACATCTCCGCGAGTTGTCCACACAAACAACGAAACACAGGATTCAGACCCTAACTCAGCCAACATGGTAGATAGGGTCTGCTTGTTTGTGGTGGCTTTGTGAAGGTTGTTGTGATTTTTGTTTCTCAACCATGCACAAGGCCTGTCAAAGGCAGCCTGAAGCTGAAACCGTTCTCGTTCTGTCGCCGCGACCCATCAATAGAAGCTTCAGGGAAATGCAATTTCAGTTCTATCTGGATGCAAGGATTTAAAGGTTTAAAGTGTAGAATTATAAATGTGATTCAAGCAATTCCCATTTTAAATCAGAATCTAGCAATAAACTCCTGCCAACAATGATCATTATCTTGATCCAATTGGGATTTGAATATAATCTAGCAACACACATTCTCGAATGGAACTTCCACCTTAAGATAGGGTTTGAATGGGAGTGTATCAAAACACAAGTATCATTTAAACTGACTTTGAAGTTTAACTATCCTTCAATAAGGACATTGTCCAAATAATATAGCCAAAATTGCATTTCTAGCGGGTGTCTATTGCTTTTTCACTTTTTTCAAGAGGCAGGTCAAGTAGAAAACGCAACAAGAACCTCCTTCCTTGCTTCATTGAATTCCATTTGACATCTACTTTAACTTCAATTAGCACCTTGCTTGGGAGGGAAATCCTATATTTGGCTTTTAGCTTAAGATTCAAAGTCAACTTAAATTGCATGTTTTGAACACATGCGAAACCTTTGAGTTTTCAAACAAACAAACGCCCCATACCCCCTGGCTTCGCACCCACCTACTTCTCACTTTCTCCCCCAAAAGAAACAAATCGAGCCCCATTTTCCCAGTTGCCCAATGATCGTGGAGTGGAAGAGAAAGGGAACACCGTTTCTCTTGCCCTTTCCCAGTCAAAGACCTACCAAACAAAAAGGGAAGGGTGCTGCTGAACCATTGGGCCTAAGCACAAGAAAGGCCTTGGGGTTTGCCCTCCCTGCTGCTGTGCCCCGAGATGCCGGCGCAAGTTGGCATAGGATACAACTCCTGGGCATGCTCACCGAATTCCATGCCTGCTGGGGACACCCACCAAATCAAGTTTACCAATGTGGTTGCGATCGCTTTGCAGTGAGGATGGAATCAGAATCACTCACACAGTTGAAGGGCTCTCCGACTACAAACCATGCTTGGAATTTGACTGGGTTCCCTACGTAAAAATCAAAAGCGGCGGTTGCCCCCCGTCCAAGCTTCATCCCTTCCCCCAATCAACTCCCGCCCACTCTCTGGGGCCAGAACATACATACAAATACATATAATACATACAATACACATTCTCTGGGGCCAGAACGATGCTTAATTTCATGGGGTATAGCTAGATGTCGGGAAAAATAAAACAAAACCGCTACGGTTTTTCATCTCATGGACTCATGGAGTCCCCCCTTTCCAGGCCGAAGAATCATTCAAATGGCATCCGAGTAAGAAACTTAAATAGCAGAAGTCAAGGATTTGTTTGTCGGATTTGGGGTCCTCAAAAATGGGTTTGTTTCTAGCCTTGAGTACAAAGTTGCGCTCTCCGTTGGAGTGCTCGCGTGCATTCGAAGCAAGGAATCCAAGTATTCGAGTCCTGTGAGTTACGCTCAATCTCACTGTCCCAAATAATTCTTCCCCCGCTTTCCCCGGACCCCCGGGTCCCCAATACTATTTTACGAATAGGCAAACTTTTCTGAACCAATACTAAACAGGCTGATCTCTCGCCCAGCCCAACCCCAGCCTTCTGAGGGGGTACTCCAAGACAATGCTAAATCAATACCAAGCCACAATCGATACCAAACCAATTTCACCCCATTTCTTTGACCAGTATTTGGGAGTGAGTGAAAATTGAACCACCAGGTGACCGCAGGTTGTAGTCAGGGCAACCCATTTTGGGTACGTATTTTTGACCCACAGCCATTTGATGTTCAAAACAACTAGTTCTTTCGGAGAAGGAGCAACCTGCTAGCTGGGCACCTGGCGCACGGCTCCATCTGCGTGGGCGAGGCTTTGCGCCAAGAGCACTCGGCCGGCGCTGTGCAGCCGCGGCATGGCGTGTCGTTTTGTGGGAGCCGTGTGTGGCAGCGTTGCCGTTCAATCTGCAAATTTGAATATGATTCCAGAAGCAGAATTAAGGGATGCCCAAGTAAAGGACCTTTATCGACTTTGATATGATTCCGAAAGTAAACTTAAGGGATCGTGGAGAGCTCGTTGTATTTGCCCCTCGCCATAACTAACATAGGCAGTTTCCAGGGCAGGGGGCTCCGCTTTCGCTTGACTTTCATCAACCAAAAGGAATTCCGCCCAAATCCCGCCCATAAAAACTCCTACCCTCCCTTGAATTATGGAAGCTGACCAGGCGTAGGAAGACTACTTGCCTTTTGGGAGGCACCCTGTCTTCCATGGTTGTTGGAAAGATGTTGAATCCCCTTTTCCACGGGTGGTGTCCTTGCATCTTTGGGTTCCTGTCGAAACGCTCAAGTTTAGGAAACACCATCGGCTGCCGGCTGCAAGCAACAGGTTCTGTTTCGCTGTGTCTGACTCGCAAAGTCTCGGAATGGCTGTCGCAAGCCACGAAGGACTTAGATCCTCGGTGTGACTTTTGGGCTGGCAGGCGTCATGTTCAGTCTGTGCCTTGAGTGCCCAGCAACCTATGCAATCCGTAAGGTTCAAAAAGGCGGAGCCAATTGCATCGATCCATCCAAAGCGGACCAGCCGAAAGGGACAATGCCCAACACGCACAAATGGACTAAGCGGCCGACGTTTCTGCCCTTTTTGGGCTGGGGCCATTGCCAATTTTTTTGTACCTGAACTCGAGCCCCTCGGCCCTTTCCGAACTGCTGTTTTCTCGGATTCGCCATGCGAAGAATCTGGTCGGCTAGTTCCTTAGCGGGCATGGTCTGTCTCAAAACGAGAGAGCCCATATTTGGATGTGGTTTCCTGCCCAAAAACAATCACGGAGTCTGGAAAAGGGTCCAGGCTAGAGTGAAATGGTCTGCAAAGGGGTCCTTTTCGGGTCCAGGAGGGGTCTCCTTTCGGACCCCTCTTGGGGGTTCCATATGCAGTCCCAGGGAAGTAACTCATTAGGAAACTACAGAGAACATCCTTGTTGCAACCTCACTCAACCAAAGCATGAGGAAAGAAGTCAACCCACGTGCAACATGAGTCTTGGCACAGACTCTGTCTTTTGCCGAGTATCGACTTGTACAGGATGCGGCTCTCTTTTCTGGCGTCCCTGAGTGCAAAACGAGGTCTTCAGCATACACACACGCACAAACAAACAAACAAACAAACAAACAAACAAACAAACAAACGCTGACTGATTGCCTGTCCAAAAAGCAGTGGCGGGGGGCAACAAAAAGGGGGGTGCTGGTCCGTGGTTCAAGGAATGTTGACCTTGTGGTCCAAAATTCAAACTCAACTATATCGATGCCATTGACCCAACCACCCAAAATAACCACCACGGCTCTATTAAATCTCAAACTTCTGCCTTGACTTCTATCCGGGTCCCGGCGGGTTGTAAACTTGGATGTCCAAGTACGGCTCGTACTTCTTGATGATGGCCTGATGATTTCTTTGAGGCATGGACTTTTTGGTAGACACGCCGTCCACGCGGACTGGCGCCGCAGCTTTCAGGACCCCCTGGCTGTCTAGGTTACCCGTTGAAGACATTGACATGGGCTCTTGAAAGATTATGGGCCATCAAGAAATGGGTGGTTTGCCTCTGGTTTCCCTTTGAAACAACCTCCAAAAGGGTACGCTGAAACTAAATCACCGTGGAAATCTCGATGAAGTCCCCGAGCTCAGCTTCAATTTTCAACAGGTGACACATGCATCGCAACCGCATCGCAAAGCGGCTCCTTCATCATCTCGTCGTTTCTGATGCCGGGAAGGTTGTAGACGTCTTCTATCTGAGCCATGGTCAAAACTGATTCATTTCCCAAAAGAACATGGGCAAAATTAGTGACACTGTACCATACTGTACCCCTTGTATTTGTGTGGGGAAATTTAGTGAGTCCCCTGTGTCCCTCCCAAATGGACCCATTGACAAATCAGGGCAGAATAGTCTGACCGCACCATCGATCTTAGACCTTGCCTTTTGAGTAAAGCTGCGTGGGCGAGCAAATGCAAGCACAATTCGCTAGCAACACGCTTTGACAGCAGGGGGGAACTACACAGGTCTGCGCCCAGCGTCTTCTTGGCTCCCTTTGGTTCCAACAGGAACAGATGATAAAAGATGCCAAGCAGTGGCCCCCAAATCCATAAACGGTCTGCTACAAGCCGCACCAAACGAGTCTCGGCCGCGGAGCCTTGTTGTACGGGCCATTGCCAGCGATGATTGCCGCCCCGGTGGGGTACAGCCCCTTGAACCTAGTCAAGACACTCAGCTGGATTTTTTTCAAATCCAATCCGGCAGTTGACAGGTTCCAACAAAAAATCGCGACGTGCAAAAAAAGGAAACTTGAGGGACCCCCATCTCAAAATCCCGCTCTCCAAGCTGACAAGGTCTTGGACGACCTTCCCAAGAAAAAGCCCCCAGACCTTCCAAAGCAGGGCACCAAGGCTTAGGCAGGAGACCATTGAACCTACCCGCGTACCCCGGCCTTGCCACCAAAGGGACTGCGCAGCCGGTTCCACACAAAGGGTGGTCTGTCCCGAGGGAAAATGATCCAGGATCCCCCAAGATTCCTTGGTAATAGTGGGAAGATTATGTGTGCAGAAGTTGTCCGAGACAGGAACTGCCGGTATTCGATGCTGCTGGCGTTGTTGATGTCAACCTAGACGCGTACACGGTCACAATACACCTCTGCTTCCCACAAAGGCATGGGACCATCATTGTCCGTCCTCCTGAAGTTTGAGGAGTCCTCCTATGGACCGACGACATGCTGGAAAAAACCGTATCTCCGGTTGAACCGAGCTGTTGGCGAATGACAGTGGGTGCAACAGGTACAATGTGGTGAAAGTCGCATTGGAGAGAAATACCCACACTACATGATCGCAAAGGAACAAACGTGCTCTGTTCAAAACCCTCAATCCAGGATGTCAGCAACTCACACAAGGCATGGCTCAATCGGCTGGAAACGCATGAGGTTCGGGCTTGCGACCGCCCACAATCATAACGTAGATTCGGGGGGATTCTAAGACACCTCATACGGGCATGGGAGCTGGCGCCACAGCAAGCTGTGGCGGATCCATGGCGTGTCCGAATGTCAGCGATCGAAATGGATCGAACACGGGAGTCCTTGCTCCGGGAATATCACGTGAAGCCTTAAGCCACGCTTCGGCATTCCGAGATTTCTGGGAAAGGGAAGCCAAAGCTTTGGACCCGGTTTCCAAGTTTCGACCTTTGAGGTTCGGTGAACAACGTCTATCTCATGGATTCTTGGAGTATCATGAACATTCCCCCCGGAAAATGCGCGGCTTCCTTTTGGTGGTATTGCCTTCAACGGCCATATCGCATCTTTCAAAAAGCCCGGCTGCAACGTACAGTTGAAACGAGATCCCAAGTCGGTTCCTATAACCAGCCCCTGGGAGGCCCCCGGGAGCCCGATCTGACCGCCCGCCTTTTGGAGATCTCCGGACTTCTCCTCTGATCGGCCGAGGGCACGTGCCTGGCAGCAAGATCCTGGAGCCCGTTGCCAGAAATGAAGACTTGATCTCGTCGCAAAATCTAAAGCCTAGAGAAAAGCAAATTCTCATTTTCAAACCCAGAGGTAGCAAGGTTGTAATGACTTCGGCAGTAGCTGGAATCATGTTGCTCACTGGTTTCTTGCCTCTTACAGTGGCTCGCCGGCCCTGCCTGCAACGGCAGAGACAAGGACAGCGAGGACAGTGACAGCACGCGCCTTCTGCCTTAGCCACGCGTTCAGAAAGCTCAAACGTGGACCTGAAAAGGTGGTTGTGTCCTTGGATTTGTTATCTACAACCACCCTTTTTGGAAGAAAGCACAACCCTTGAAACATCTTGGGATTGAGTGCACAGGTTGAGAGAATGACATTCCTCGAAAGGCAGATGGGTGTTTTGGCCCAAAATTTGATTGGTTGAACTTTCATCCACTTGGAGAACCCACTGAATGCTCAATGAATCCGGCAACCCCCCCCCATTCGGGTGCGGCTGTTTTTTTCGGGGACCCCCAAGAACATGGTGGCTTTCCTTTGGTTTCCCTTTAAACAAAAAGCCACCAAAAAGGTTAAAAGCAAAAGACCCTCCAAACAGGACAGACCCACTTGGCCTTCCTTGCACGTCGAGTTGGGCCTTCTTGGCGCGTCGGGGAAACCAGAGCTTAGAGCCGCGCTCAGCGCGGCGGCCGCGCAGCCGGCGCCGAAGCCCAGTGCGACCTCGAGGCCGCCTCGACCGCTTTGGGGCGGCGACGCCGATGCCTCAGCGTCGGCCTGGCCGAGGCCGAAACAACGAACGCGGACAAAGACGTCGGCGGGCTTGCTTGTCTAAAAATGAGGGGCTGCCCGCTGTCTGATCCCCGAAAAGTTTGACAGGTGGGTAAACTAAAAAGCTAAAAAAGCTGAGGGGAGGGCTGGGAGCCACCAAGTAATGAGGGACGGAAATCTTCGGTTTTCCGAATGGACTCACTCCAATTTGTGAAAACCGCACAAAAAAGGCACACCCACTGTGGAAAAATGGATGACGGTCCTTTGCAGAGGGTGATGATCTGTGCTGCCCCCCCAACTGTTTTCAGGGATCTTTCATTTGTTGTCTCGAGAAAATCGCCCAGGACTCTGAACAGAATTGGGGGATCAATCCCTAGGTTGTTCATTTACCCAACGCAAACCCCAGTACGCAACCTAGCGGTTGATGCCCATCCAGAAACAAGGACTATAATTCTACTTCATCTCCAACAAAAAAATGGCTCCAGGCCACCACCCAACTGCTTTTGAACCGCGTCCAAAACTCCCAACGCTCCAACCAGCAGCTGGGATGTGCTGCGGATCCAACACTCCGCCCTCTCACTTCGCCGCCTCTGCACGATCCAGATCCGCGTGCTGCAGGGAGGTCTCGCAGGACAAAACCGCAAGCTTCCATTTGCTTCAGCCGCAAGCAAAAACAAAACATACTTTCACTGGTGACAGATTCCATTTAGTTGAAAGCACAAGGGAAACATGAACAAAAATTACGCAGGCTCCCCCAATGGCACGTGGGAAAACTAGGGCTCATCCCTGGTTTTTGTGCCTGAAATTTAGAGCTCGTCCCCTTCCCAAATGGACCATAGACTTCTGAGTACGTATCAAACGTGATAGTTGTGTCATCCACAAGGGAGAAACAAAACAGTCCCAGCTCATGGCATGATCACAAACTCATTGGTATACAAAAGACCGCATGAATGAGAAGTTCCTTGCAGGGAAGCAACAAGGTTGAACAGCACAGATTCTTCATCAGCTCCCGAAATCGCCCCTACCGACCCCTGTCCACGCATCACTCTGAGCGTCCCACCCTGCCCACAGGAACATAAGCTTCCTGGAAGGCGCTTACGATGGACGAAACCAGCCTCATTGAATGAGCAACCTCATTGCATCCTTCCAGCTCAATGGCTGGCTTTCTCCACCGCGCTTCTGGAGGGGCGGTGTGCAAAAAGGGAAGAGCCACGCCCAAACACGCCCAAGCAACAAGGAGTTGTGTTTTGCTTTGATCTCCCTGTAAAACAACCCCAAAGTGGTACCAACGCAAAAGAGACAAGCCCACAGTTTCAACAATACGTGCAACATCGTGCAGCCCTTCTTGTGTCCGGTCGATATGAATATTTATTTCGCCTTCAAACAATTTGAAGGGCAGCCTTCGACAAGGGCAATCTGACTCACCGATTTGACGGGAGAAAACAAAAACTGATTAAAGCCATGAGGCTTAGAGCAAGAAGTTGAGACATCCTCCTTCTCCACGTACCCTCCCCAGAAACCTCCCCTCGAATTGGTGGCTTGCCCCCGGTGGCTTCAAAGCTTGGGGGTCTTCCATTGAATTACCCTCTAGCAGAAATCAGGGATTCAATCTAAGTTCAGATCCCCAGACCACAACTCCAAACCACCACTGCCGAATTGCCTGACCTCCATTTGCTTAAGTCCCCTGGAAAAAAAAAGAGCAAAAAACAACATATTTCCAGTAGTGATAGATTCCCTTTAAACCAACAGTGGATAATAAAAACGTATTCTGAACCAAATGGAAGCTGGCCTCCCCTTTGTGCTCAGGGAACCACATCCAAGATCGCTGAGGCCCGCACGGCGGCGGCCAGAAGCAGCGCCCCGGTCCAAAAGCTGACTGGCCGCATGGGGCCTAGGCTCGAGAAATAGACGGGTGACCTGCAAATCCCAATGAGTCCTGCAAAAGACAACGAGTCCGGTTGTCGGGAATGAACCGGTTTTGGGGATGCCCTGAAAGGAAACGGGTCCCGATTTTTTTTGGGAATTTTCCCCGTTTTGTTCTGGGATTTTTCCTGGATTTTCTGTCTTGGAACTGGCTCCCTTGGTTCTGCTGTGGTTTGAGTCGTTTTGCACCAGCGCTGTCAACATCCCCGGCATTGTTTTAACTCGGCAGCATCCTTTTCAACATCCTCAGCATCACGAGTTTGATTTGTTAGGCTGGGTTTATGGTGGGCTCAAGGTTGGCTGGGGTTGGTTCAGGGAGGGTTCCAGGCTTGTTTAGAGCAAGCTTGCGGGTGGCTGCGCTGTAGATACTGGGATGGTTTAGTGCTGGTTTATATGGGCTTCTTGGGGTTGGTTTAGGGTGGGTTTGGGGCTGGTTTAGGGTGAGGGTGGGCTTAGGGTGGTTTGGGGGTGGCTTAGGGATGGTTTGGTTTGTTTGGGGGCGGGGAGGGGGGGAGGGGGGTAGGGGGCGGTTGGTGTCGGGGTTGCTTTGAGTTTGTTCAGGGTTGTAGTAGGGTGGGTGTAGTGGGGGGTTCGGGTTGGTTTAGGGTTTGCCTAGTGGGGGTGGTTTAAGGTGGGCTTATTAGCGATGGTTTTGTGCTTGTTTAGTGCGGACTTAGGGTTGGTTTGGGTGGGGTTGGGGTGGGTTTTGGGATTGGCTTAGGGTGGTTGGGGTTTAGGGTTGGTTTAGGTTAGGTTTAGAGTTGGTCTAGGGAGTCTAGTGCTGGTTTAGAGTGGGTTTGTTTAGGGGTTCCTTTAGGGAGTCTTGCTGGTTTAAGGTTACTTTAGGGTTTCTTTAGGGTTGGCTCAGGTTGTTTTTAAGGTTGGTTCTAGTTTTAGTGGCGGTTTAGGGTGGGTTTAGTGGTGGTTTCGGGTTGGTTGAGGGTTGGTTTCAGCCAAAAACGAGGCTTTTTCGGGTGCCAAGAAGCGGGGGGGTTGGGAGGGGCGCAGCCCCCCGCATCCACAGAAATACCGGAGGCAAGAATCCACCAACCAAAAATATATATATATAAAAAAAAAAAAAAAAAAAAAAAACGGTAATGCTCGTGAATAAAAACGGGGGAAACAAAAAACAAAAATAGCCCTCCAAAGGAAACCTTTTGGGGGATGGTTTTTCTCTGCTCCCGGCCACTGTCTCAGGCTTCCGATTCTTGTGTCTTCCCGTTCCCAGAGAAGCCACACCAAGGCACGTGGGTGTAAACCAACATTTTCATGGAACTCCGATTGCACAGTGTTTTCAAAAACACCAAAAGAACATCAGGGTTCCCTACCTTAGGAATCAACATATGGTCGTGTTCCTCAACATGAGTTGGACCCTTCAGTGGTTTGCCTTTCCTTCTGGATGGTCCGACCATTTCGGGACTTGCCCCCGGAGGGTCAAACTTCAAACCTCCGAATTCTAGGAGCTCCACGGATCCTTCGTCGCAACACGTGAACAAAACTCAAGAGGGAAGCGGCCGGACGTAAAGAACGGCTGAACAAAAAAGGGGGGCACCAAATGGACAGAAAGTTCCCCCACCAGTTGGGTCTCCAACTCGAAGGCTTTTTGGCACCCCACTCTGACGCGACATTGCCCTTCAAAACATGTCCCCTTAGTGCAGCTTCCCTGACTCTTGAAACAATGTACTCGCAAGCCGATGCATCAAACATGTTCACTGTGTCCTTTTGACCCATGCGACTCGCGCGTCCGTGACTCGCCCGGCCTCTTTGAGGGGCCCTAGGCCTCTTCTAAAGCCCAGCTGCGGCAAGGCATCATGGTCCAGTTGTCCAGCCGTTCAATCACGTAATTACACACAAGAAAAACACATGCAAGGCAAATGGGGGGGTTTCCGAAAATGGGGGGGGGTCATTCCCTGATTGCCTCTGGGAAATCATCTTAAGAAACGGCTTCAACTTGGACTTTGATTGGCCAAAGGGTTGGAAATTGGCCTCCGGAAAGGATGACGAACAGAACCACACTCAATTGTCCGGCCATATGGTTTGGTCACCTGATGAACTTGCGGATGAACTTGGCACTTTTGTCGAATCGAAGTCGCGCGTCTGCTCAGCAGTCCGGCTCCAGCTTTTGCATTTGGCCTCATTTTTTGCGGGGAGCTGCGGCAAACTGTTCCCCGCTGTCTTGCGAGCGAAGGGAGGCAACCGAGCGCGGCTTCGCAGGGATTCTGGAGGGACATTACACCAATTGTGTGCGGTTTACCGGGAAACCGAAGAGAAACCAACTACATTCGCAAGGGCCAAGCCGTTGTTGCAAGCACTCGTCTGCATATGGTGAATGCAGAGAATCGCAAGCCAGGATTCGAGGGTAGCCGCAAGGCCAACTCCGCTCGCAACTCCATGCCAATCCCTATGGAAGGATCTTGACACAAACCAAAGAACCAAGCTCTGAAGCCAGCACCCAATCTGTGAAACCAAAATGAGAACCCTTGGTACCGGTATGGACCCCTGGGTCAATGCACTGATTATGGCATTGTTATCCGAAAACAAACTAAAGCAGCTCAAATGGCAATGGTTCATATGTGCCATGGTCAAAACTCCTTGGCCTGGTTCCAAGGTTTGTCTAGATTAACTAAGGGGCCCATGACCATCCTTAGTAACCCCAAGTAAAGGAACCGGACTTTTAACCATGGCACATAGGGTTCATATATCAGATATTATCAGAGTTCTGAGCTCCTTGTGAGATGTTTGTGCCTTGGGAAAACCACGAAACCCTAAAAATTCATTGACCCCATGGTTGATTTTTGTTTGGGGTTTCAACCCCACCCAACACCAACTCAAAAGGGCTTCATGGGACTTCCGATTAAAAACCCAACCTTTGGCCCAACCCCAGAACACCAGATATGTCAAAAGAGTCTGTTTCAAATATCAAGCTTACATCGAAAACACAAACATGCTGACCGGGATCCGGTGAAGCCCCATTTGTGGGGGTGAACGCTGGGAAGCACCTACCAATTATAGTTTGAAGCGGATGACTTGTGGGGGTTGGAACAGTCTGTGAGTCTTGAGAAGACTTCGAGCTTCGGCTTCGGAATGAGCCGGCCAGCCCGCCCGCGCCTTGGCTCACGGGCTCACGGGCTCACGGGCTCACGCCACTTCCCACTCGCCGGTGGCCAAGTTCTGCTGCAAGGACGGACCCTGGAGGCAAAACCAAGTGTGCCAATGGTTTCCCACAAAGAAACCTGGGTGTGTTTGAAAAAACCCGCCGAGATGCTTGATTTCCTGTTGGGTTCCCTTTACCAACCCAAAAGGGTGCCCTCAACAAAAGACTCACTCACGTGAAACTGAAAGGGACACCCATGAAAGTCTCATATGAAACCTGACACATCGTTCAAACATGGAACCTGAACTGACAAGAATGCCCACAAAACCTTTCTTTGCTGGGTACTCCTTCTAGCCATGATCATGGCTATGGCCCTATTGTGGGGTCCAACCGCCCCTACCAACCCCCAACTGAAAGTGTGTTGTCACCATCATGCACATGGCCGAAGTGAGTCTCTGAGAGCATCTTTGCTTATGAGCCAAAATAAAAAAGGGAAGGAAAACTGATGCTTGTGGCTACCACATTTAGTGGCAAACCATGGAGCACGTGCAATGTTGCTTTCCGTGGTATGAGCCAACTACGGCCTTAAGGCCTGACATTTTTAGAGGAAGTGGGCTTGGCTCTGGGCACACGAAGGATGACATGACGGCCTCCAGCGGGATGTACACGTGGCTCACCACCCTCTTGTCGCTGCCCTCAGAACTCCACATCTCGAGCATCTCGGCTCCGGGCGCGTGTCTATGTTATCCTTGGATCTGCTTGTTGCTGGAAACTCCAACCTGCTCTGCTGGGCTCTGTTTGATCGAAGGCTGTTGCAAGACTATCATTCGCTCCAGAAGGACACTTGTCCACCTCTATTGCTGGACAACTTGTCCACCTCTATTGATGGACAAAGGGAAACCGAAGCCCATTTTGCGGGGTCCACCATTTTGAGATAACGTCACTGAGGCCCAAGCTTGCATCATTGAAGCACCGCAGCTACCACCGCCACAGCCACCAAAGCCACCACAGCCACCACAGCCGCCACTGCCGCCACCGCAGCAGCCACCACCGCAGCCACCACCGCCCCGGCAGCCACCACCATAGCTGCCATAGCCACTGCCGCCAAAGCTACCGCAGCCACCGCCGCCGCCAAAGCTACCGCAGCCACCACCGCCATAGCCACTGCTGCTGCCCCATGCACCGCCCCCACCGCCACCGCAGCTACCACAGCCACCGCAGCCACCACAGCCACCGCAGCCGCCGCCGCTGGTACCAGATGACCTCTGGGAAATGGAGCGGTGACAAGAAGTGCTGGACCTTTTCCGATCCAAAGGGGCCTTGTTCAGGGCAGCAGAAAATGACCACGGGAACAAAAAGAAACGAGATAAGGCGAACCCCTTTTGTGAACACCCTGCAAGGTGTCCAAGAATAGGGACCTTCCCTTGGATAGCTGCAAAGGGAACGAAAAGAACACCACCCATAGGTCCGCTACTTTTGGACACTTCCTAATGTCAACTTCTGATTCATCTGAAGCGCCATGCGACTCAAATGAACTAATCTCCCACGGAAAGTGGGACCACCCCTGCTTTGTATGGTCTTTCGGATAAGTCTGAAGTTGAAACTAAACTAGGCCACTAAAGTCACAACCGAACCAACGTCTCTACATGGTGGCGTACACGGAGATCCACCCGACCGTGTTTGTGAGATGCTCTGAATACACAATTTTGCTGGAACCCAGGTGAATCTTGGCTCAGCTCTGGGATACTCCAAGCAGCATATGTTCAGACTCTGGCTCTTATTATGTCAACCCCAACATATAAAACACATCTGGAGGAGACCCCGCATTTCTCTTAGGCAACCTTGAGGCGAGGACGAGTGCTGCTTCCA